CAACAGTACCTGGATAACATTTGTCAAAATCAAAGTAAGTGGAGATTGTTCCTCTTATTTTCATTTGTATGTAAAAATGAATTTTTAGTGCAAAAATGAAAATGTTAAACTAACAACCTCTAATGATCTTGATCTTCACTAATGTTATCCAAGACATAATTCTGAACAACATTGAAAAGATTTTAGCTTGTCGGTCGGATACCTTGAGTAATGCTAATGCTGGCAGTACTGTAACTTTGAAGTTTAATAACTCAATAGACAATAAGTACTGATTAAAAAAAGATTATTAAAGTGTTTTGGAAAGCTCACGAGATCAGCTATTAGATTCTGGAATAAAAATTAGGATGTTTCGTTAAAAAAAATCGATGTGACCTTGGCGACGCCACCCAAGATCAAACAGATGTGAACAGTAAATAGATCTTTTTAAACCCTACAATTTTTATTTGAATCATTTTTCTAAAAAATGTTTTGTTTTCGAGATATTTCACCGATCCGGAACTTTTTACTTACTCTGTATGTATGTGTTATATATATATATTTTTTTTTTATATCACAATAATCATTGATGCATGTATATACTTACTTCACAACTTCTTCACCTTATATCTCTAATGAAGTCTGTCTGTTCATAGGAAGTAAATTCTCCTTTGATCCAAGTCTCGACGAGGGCGCATCTCCCAACGGCTCTCGTCGGTCGTTAGCCGAGACATCGGTGACGTCAACGGCCGATTTGTCGGTATTCAGCTCGGCGACACGTTCCCAGGTCCTGGACAACAGTCTGGACACCCAGAGCAATATCTCGAATGCGAGTTCGGGCAGTGGCGGTCTGCCCACACCGCGGGCAACGCCGCATCAGCCCAGCCCAGACGTAGTGCGAATTTATGTGCCGTACACGTCGCCTACGTACACGTCGTCGACGGTGGCTTCTTACAAGGATGATCTACCGCGTACACTGCCCCGTTCCCTGGACACCAACAAGATTCGCATCCGCATCGATCCGGACCAGACGCCTATCGTCGAGAATCTAAAGCCGTTCACACTCGAGAGTCCAGAAGTCGAGCTAGATTTGAAATAAAGTGAGTCGATTGAGCTATACGCGAACGTGAAATCATAAATGGCCATGATGTGGATATGATAGTTTGGTCCTGAAAGTCGCGCATTTTTTGGATCAAGAGTGAGGGCAATGTTAAAAATATTTGAAAGGTATCTCTTTTTTTTTTTTCAGTCGATCGGATATTGGATATTAATGTCGCCAAATATAATTAATATCGTTCTAATAATTCTTAACATGTATTCAATGTATTTTCTTTTGCCTCTCTTGGGAAGTAAAATAGCTAATTCAAGTTTCGCATGTCAAATATATGTCGAAGATTTAATATTGAACAAAAAATTGCATAAATCTCGAAATATGATTCTAAACATTCTCAAAAATAATGCGCGACTTCTGGCATACCCTGTGTATGTATATTCTGCGATAAATCGCGCGTACAGAAGAAACAATGACAAATACGAAAGCGATTGCATTAAATCTTAAGGAATCTCTTTATAGAAAACGTCAATTGATGAATTAAGATTTAGAAATGAGAGAAAAATTACAGTGTACTGTTTCTAGAATGTAATCTTAAATACTTATTAACTACGATATAATCTTTGATATCCGTTGTTCTTATAAATTAAATTTCAATTTTAAAAAAATTGTAAAGTTGTATAAGAATTAATTGTATCTCAATTTTAAAGAAGATCTATAAAAATCGACAATTAATTACAACTTACGAAGGGTCAAAGAAATTGAAAATCTTAAATGTTTCAATTTAAAAGATGTTGATAGCGAAATAGACTTTATAACATTTCAATTTATGAAAATCGAAATGAACAAAGTATTGTCGCTGCATTTTGGCCTAATTTAGTTTCATGACATACGCGTTGTACGTCACATAGTATTTTTCCAGACACAGCAGAAATAAACGAAGCAATGCATTTCTGATATTGCTTATTATGATAGGATTACGACAAAACAGAAAAAGGATGCAATTCTGTCTCTTCGCACAACATTACAATTTTAAGTGAAATTATAAGGCGAATGATAGAATATTTTATGTATATATCAGAGTTTTTTTTACACCAAATTATAAATTCGTAACAAAATAAAGTGTGATCATGTTTAGAATTGTGAAACAGAGGAGTTGTATGTATTTCATTTCAATGCTAATGTATTTCATATTACACTCATATATTTAAATTAATTTGAGAACAACGAATACAATTGTGCAAAAATATATACTATCATTAGTCTGCACATAATCAAATACAACTTCGCGTGAAATTTCTCTCAATATTATTATATTAATGATATTCTATCTTATTATCAAACAATTTGCATGAAAAATGATCCTTATTTTCTGTTCTATCGCAGTCCCATTATTTATTGGCATATTATTCTAGAGGAAGATAGACAATGCTGTGTCTATTCATATTATGTCTGTAGGTCTCCTATATTTGTCACGCAGTCTTATTTACAGTTATTTCGTTTTGATTTCTGGAAAAAAAAAAAAAAAGAATACTATTACAATATATTGAGTTGCTATTAAGAATTAAAACGGATTCCGCTGTATATAAAATAAAAATGTATCTAGAGGCAAATTCATTTTTTTACAACTACTGTAAAGAATTGAGTTCGTTAAATAGGCATCTATATACAATATATAATCGATAATATAAATTTCGATAAGCTCTAATATAACCGAATTTTGTAACGTAGCTACATAAGAAAATAGATTTGTCTCTGGATGTGATTCCACTAAATATTTCTGATCAGCATCATACCACGTTTTGTTTTGTTTACATTAAATTTACTACAGTAAAATTTCGTTGACGATTGATCTTACGGATGACTGTATGCTGGTAAACGAATTAGTAGAACAATGGTGGAGAAATGTATTATGTATACTATTTATTTATACGCTCACGAGCTAATTATATCTATCTGTCCTCAAGAGGAAAAACTACTCATACTATTAAGTATTATGCTGCCTTGGTAATATCGACATGTTTCTTTGTTAGTCTCTCTTATTTTTTCATTTTTTTTTATTCGTATGTTGTAAGAAAAATACTTCTGTATATATAAATAATATTTAACAAGTGAGATGAAAAAAAGGAACAAGACTTTCATGTCAAAAAGCGAATGAAACTCCTCGGACGTAGTCATGTTCGAACTCTTTGTCGTAGAATGTGAATACTGAACAGCTTCCGATTATTGTGCCGCACTGAAAGTATTTGTATTATTTGATTATGAGCCATCGCGTTTGGATGTGTGCACTTCGATTACAATTTCGCCAACATTCCTCAAAATATTCCTCGATGTACATAATCTTGTGGATAAAGTCTGAATAAAAAAAAGTTATCCCCATGCGTAAACGTGAACTTGTCAAACAAATAATTATTATATCTAACAATAGCGTAAGAAGCGATGTAGATTAAAAATAATATTAAATGTTGATCGTCTGAATCTTTATCACGTTAACGCAAGAACAGGTTGATAGGATTAAAATCTTTTACCAAGTTCCTCTGATTATTTTCGACGTGATTTATGACAATTATGACAATGGTGACCTTATACTTTTGATTAGTTCAGCGAAAGAAAAGATTTCTCGACTGCATGAGAACGAAACATTACCCCTCAAATTTATTCAGCTACGATCTTTGTATGTTATGTTTTTTTGAGCTAGACCGTCTAATAGAGATTATCTAATAGCTTTTATAGACATTATACAATAATGCAATATATCTTGCCAGGCTATGACATAAATAATGTAATTAAAGGGAAACAGGAGGTTTGTATGATCAAATTGAAGATGAAATTTGCAAAATTATTTCAAGAAAGGAATAAATGCATAATTTATCACAAAGGAATAAATAACAATTCTCCGTTTATTACTATGTAAGTATTGTTTACTACTATATTTGATAAATATTATTAGGCAGCAAGCTTTGACTATGGTCTTTATTTATTTATATTGTATTTGAGACGTAGAAAATATTAATTTGTAGAATAAAACTTATTAAAAATATAGAAATTTTCCGTGTGTATCATATTGATAAATTTCTCGAAAATTTCAAGTGCCTCGCGTTTTACCATGATCCCCTGACCTCCAAGGAAACAACCTACTTTTTGTTAGTTATTCTCTATAGTTTTTCTCAGGACACTTTGCTCTACAAGTTAAATTTAAAATAAATAATTAGAAAATTATTGTAAAATGGTAATAATTTAAACGCGTAAAAACTTAATTTTCACAACAAAAATTGACGTTACATTGTTATCATTTTGTAATAACATTTTCCTAATGTCTATTTTAAATTCAATCTGTAAAGTAATGTTCTGAGGAAAAGAAACTGTGTCAGAAAATAGTACATTGCTTCTTTATAAGTCACAGAATCATGGTAAAACTTGAAATTTCCAGGCCTGTCTTCAATAGCGCACATAGAAAACCTAATAAGTTTCCTAATCAATTAATCTTATTAAAAGAAATAAATTTTCTCTCTCTAAAAAATTTTGTTCTATCTCTCCTGTTGTTGGTGAACAATAAAACAAAAACAAAATGTGGGTCAATTTTCAAAGGTTGATTTTACCCTTTTAGGATGAATTCGGGCAATAAAAAAAAATGTTTATTACATGTCAGGATACTTTCTGTGTATTGCTAAAGTTTCATAATTTTCTGAATGTCCGAGTCGAGCCTTTCCTTGTAAGTCCAATTCTAAGAACTTCACGTTGTTTCTTCGTACAAACTACTAGTCTGTGGACTGCCATTTCGTAAGTACAGCTTTTATATGAATCAAATATTGTCACGACGTGACAGCTCTAGAGCGCCATATTGGACTAAGAAATAGTAAACAAGATCTCAATTTTGAAATTTTTTATCGTTTTCGGTAAACTCCACAGACACGTATTAATGTGTATATTTTAATCTTAGAAAAGAATTCTTAAATCTGTAAAAGAGGGAAAAATAATAGTTATATAAAAATATTAAACCATATGTTTTAGTCAATAATACAGATGGCTTTAGGATCCCCTTAACTGTAGGAAATATTTAAAAAATCGTGCGGACCGTTATGCTGAACACCTTGTGCGTGTATGCGTTTGTGCATGCGTGCGTGTATATACATATGTAATGATTATAATACGACAAATGCAATACTCGTCGAAATCTTACCAATTATCGACAAGAAGGGTAGAGAGGAGGCCATTGTAAATCAGTAATTGTCGAAACAAAGTCTAATTGTCAATATAGTAAAAATATATCAAAAATATATATCTCACTTCTTCCAGCATCATTTTTTTTATCGCACAACTATTCGATGTGTTTGTTCCAATTTATTTATTTTTATTTACAAGTACTGTATCGCATATGTGATCTGGAGATGTAGGATCGATCAAGGTGATTATGTAGGCGCGCAGATGTGTTATCTTTTTTAAAAATTAGATTAAAAATCATGACGCGTTTGTGTGGTAAGAAACAACCTCTATTAATCTCGCAGTTATTATAAATGCACATTGAGGATTTGTTTAATGAATGTTGACTTTCTCATTACAAAATGTTGCAATGACACTTAATTACGATTACCTTTCAACTACAATCATCTCGATTGATCCTAACTGGATTTGTCTTCTTTTTTCTATTATTTTGTATTGATAATGACTCGATCTTACAAGAATGTTCAGTGCACGCAAATTCTTGTATGATCTTCCTACATAAATTCGTTGAAACCAAACTTTCTCTTTTTCCTTTTCCTTTTTATACGGCTGTATCTATATGCTGTATAAATAAATCGTCAAATGAACACGATTGGTCGACACTTATTTGGTTTATAACGAACTTATTTGGCTTTCAAACAGATTGATCTAGCTTACTTTAAGACGCTCATTACGAACTAGGCTGGTAAAAGTTATTGCTCATAATTGGTATCAGTTTGCCATTCAGCAGCATTTGCGGTCCAGTATAGTAACGCCATAACAGACTGCTGCCTCTCTTCAGCTGATTATGAGTCGACAGATGGGTCCAACAATGCAGCCAGTTCTTGTAGATCGGCATGTGTGGTGGAAGACCAGCTACCAACCTTGAACAATTTTCACGAATGTATTAACTTTTCTATGAAATATCAGATGTTCTTAACTTGATAGGTCTCACTTTATTTTGTGAAGGAGAAAGTAATATTATGGCTCTCATTTACCTTTTGTAACTTCGTTAATAATCAATAAAAAATTAACGATTACATTCGTCAAGGTGTTGTTCAATCGATTTTAAACCCAAAGTTATGAAATATATACTTAGAACGTTATTTATAAAAATGTTACAATATTGCACAATAAGTCGAAAAAGATGAGTAGTACATATGAAGAAGTATGTACAATTAAGTATTAAAATGTACATATCTTGTAAATGTTCCTAAATACTCGAAATTAAAAATACGTTATAAAAAATATCGGCTGTGTATTGGCATATTAATGCTATTGTATAACAAGTTACTAAACAAATAATTCCATAAATAATTACTACAATTCGCCATGTAATAGCGGATATATTATGAAGGTCAATTATATCTATAGATCTACTATAAGAGACGTAATACTTCTCCTTTATTTTTAGATTACATTCCAAAACGTTTTCTCTAAGGAAAATTTTACCCGAAACACATATATAGTACATGTAATGTAGTATATTATATCAAATAAAATTTTCATCGGAGAAGGCATTTTGAAATGTAGCCTTAAAGTATAAACCTTTCAAACTTTTTAGTATAAAACTATTTTTAAAGTATGAAGTGTGCATATATAACTTTTAATATTCCTAAATCTCATAATTGTATCAATTACTTTTAAGTAAGAAAACACATTTTTAATAAGGTATAAAAAGAAAAAATTATGTTAATCTTCAATGAAAGCATTGGACATGAGATTTTACTTACCCACAGTCATTTACTGCCATGCAGTGAGATACCACTAAGAACGGGTACATAACGGTTGTAGCTACAAACTGTACAAACACTTCATTTTAAATATGCTTAAACTTTACGTATGAAATGTTTAATGCGTTTGGTTCTGAGACACGTTGTGTCAATATGAATCAGAGCATGTTCTCTGAAAAATATTGATTTTGCACTTACTTTCATGGTTGATGCAGTGTATGGTTTCATCGCCGGCTCCTGTATAACGTAATTATTTATAGCGTATGTAGAGATACCAGTTAGAACTATAACTGCAGCGCTTCCTATTACACGCGGTATCAATCCTGCGTAATATCCTAGGATCCCATTCTCCTTATAAATCTCCAGGAACGAACCAAATAGACTACTAATGGTAAGAATATAATTATAAATAAGTTTTGTTGCGGTGATAAATGAATCGCCCAGAGAAGAATGCAAATTTAACAAATATTTTTCCAGAAAATTAAATTCAAAATTGTCAATTCTCTTCAAAATTAACAAATACAAATGCGATTATATACATACTTTGTCTTTATTGCTTTATTTTATTTTATAAGTTTATATTATATATATATAACCAGATTTTAGTATTAATTATTGAAATTTTTGTTAAAATTTTCAATATTATCCCTCATTAATCATTTCTTTTCCTATATCACGTATATGATATTTTGTAATTGAAGACCAAAAGATTTATATATACAATACACAGTCTTTCTCCTCTGGAAATCTAAAAAGATATGCCATTTGTTATATATATTTATACCTATATTTTGTCTCTCTACCCACAAATTGTGCAATCATCCTTAATGAAATGACTTCCAAAGGATGACTAACTATGATCGCGACTGTTCTACTGATCACATCCCTGATGATCTCATTCATGCATCTTTTACGTCTATAAACAGAAGAAATTATTAATTCACTATTCATATTTTTCTCCCTTCCCTTAACACATACCTCACTCTCTCATCCTCATCGTCTTCGTCCTCAGTCTGTTCCACTGAGTTCGACTGAAGATATTCTAAAGTTTTGTCGCACGCTATTGTACTGACTGTATAGGAACATACCTTGGGTACTAAGCCTCTGTAGCAGCCTGTAAATCCATCCAAGTTCTTTATGTATTTAACTGCAAGAAATAACATTGTGTTAAATAGAGTATATAATAAAACAATACAATTTAAAGTAGAAAATAGGGATGCACCAGATATCCAGGCAGGATTGTTGAATATATCTGATTTCTGGCAAAATATTCAGCCAAAACTTCATATTGAAATGACGTGTATAATGATATGAATATTTGAAAACTAATACACTATGCAAACAAATTAAAGGATCACCTAGTTAGTCCTGAAAAATAGGTAAAAATTCAGGTACAAAATTTTCAGATTTGACGAATATCCACTTCTGTTTGTATAACTCCATAAAAATCAACCGTATCGAAATATCGATTACTGATTTCGAAAGTAGAGATTTCAAGCTTTAAAATGCTTTTTTAAAAATCTCGTTATGATCATTTTCGACGAAGTTACAATCTTCTGAATTTTTATCTATTTTTGAGGACGGACTAGGTAATCCTTTAATTTTTTACGTAGTGTATAATATATTAGTTTTCTAAAACTATATTTCTACTATATTTTTAAAAAATATATCAGTGATAAAAGTTTTTAAATATTTGTACCATCATACATGTCATTTCAATATAGTTTTAACCTGATATGTCAGAAACAAGATATCTGGTAATTCTTCCTGGATATCTGATGCATTCATAGTAGAAAAGGTAAAACAATCTCCTGAAAAATATTTCTTAAGTTTTAAATTAAAATTATACTTACTATACGTAAAAGCATTAGGTAGTTTTAATGCAGGTTTTCCAAACAATGTTACAGTTGGTTTGGGTGGAATAGGTTCATACCCAATCTATGTAATAAAACAAATATATGAGACTGTTTCTTTTTAGCTTAGAACATATACCACTAATATATGTTTTAAGCTTTTTAGATAACATTACATCACCATGTATTGTTTTGTATCAAAATTCTTAACCAGAGATATATCTTTACCTCGATCAGAACCTTAGCATATTCAATAGGATAGGAGATTGCATTTACTAAAATGTGACCGGCTATATCAGACCACAGGATCTCCGTGTCTTTCGAGGCATCCTTTGGAGGCATTCTTAGTAAATTCCTAGATTTTCTCTTTTCTGGAGGGAACATATATATTACACAAAATCAATAGAAATTTAGTCAGGAATTTTCATCTTATAAAAATGTACCGATAAATGTTAAGACCCCGCCAGTCTCAAATTTCGATAAAAACAGACTCAATCGATGCGTTTTTGCATGAAAAACGAACGAATCTAGCAGAAATAAGCGTCGCTCTGCCCCGCGAACCGAGATATTTAGCGTTAAAGTTCACGACCGTTCAGGTTAGGAAATCTGTCATACCGACTCGATATAAGCGCTATAAGTATGCCTTTTTCATGCTCTGTGACTTAATGCGCATGCGTTTAACGATTCTTGGGTCCAATAGTGCACGAAATTCGAAATATTCACTTGTTGAGTGTGTAGACAGTAATGCTTGGGTTCGGGGCGGCTTGCCACCCCGGCTTTGTCACAGAGCATGAAAAAGGCATACTTATAGCGCTTATATCGAGTCGGTATGACAGATTTCCTAACCTGAACGGTCGTGAACTTTAACGCTAAATATCTAGGTTCACGGGGCAGAGCGACGCTTATTTCTGCCAGATTCGTTCGTTTCATGCAAAAACGCATCGATTGAGTCTTTTTTTATCGAAATTTGAGACTGGCGGGGTCTTCTTAACATTTATCAATGTACCAATTCTCATTGTTTAAGGTCACAAATTGATATCACGATTTCTCTTCTCCTGGTTCCCACCTACTTTCTCGCGAAACTGTGCGCTAGCAAAAGAGACGACTATTGACGGGACAATCAGGATCAGCGTTGCCGCGATATTCTAGTCTATTTTTTATTACAAATCATCGAGTGTCTCTTTCACCGGCATTACTGTGCTTGTTTCCCCGCGAACACTTCTGTTCTTTGCATTCTGTATGTAAGGTCGAGTTCAGCCGAAATATAAGCGTTCGGGAATAAATGTTAAGAATATACTGTTCACTTTAAATCTTGATAAAAATACACTCAATCGAAGTGTAAAAATTAAGATTTAACAAGAAAAAATATTGCTCTGCCCCGTGAACTGAGATATTAATCGTTAAAATAAACGACTATTAAGGTTAAGAAATTTGTCACAGCCACAAAATATTACGATATGAACATATAGACCGTGCCAGATGGCATAGCACCGAGATGCCAGATTCAATTGGAAACACTATTCACATCGGCCTTTTCCTAGTAATTTTTCATTGTTTCGCCAATGACATTAGGTGCGTTCGGGAAGACGCTATTAGCGCTATTTGTGTCATTCTATCCTTGTTTTACGTTTAATAAACAACGAAGATAGAATGACAGAATAGCGCTATCAGCGTCTCCCCGAACGCACCAATTATATTAGATCTGTTCGCGTTGTTTACATTTTTTAGGCTGCGTCCCTATGGAGAAAGAACAGTGGAACGGAATATTAACAGTGGAACGGAATCAGAACGGAATATTAATCAGAAAAGAGATAGGATGAGGATGTCTCTTTTCTATCAATATTCCATTTTGATTCCGTTCCGCTGTTTTTTTCTCCATGAGGACGCAGCCTTACACTTAACATCTTCATTTTCTCTCTTTTCAGAGCCCAAATATGTATCTATCTCATTTTAAGTTCAAAAATTTTTGGAAATTTTCGAACAACGCGACAAACCTATTATTTTAAATTAGCCAATTAGTGATGTGGGCAATTAATATACATACATACATGACTCCAAAATGATCATTAAGTCATTTTTCAAACATTTCCGATTCATTTTAATGTCATTTTGATGTTATCGTGACTTGGATATATTTATATATAAAATTGAATTTAAGTTATATATATATATATATCCAAACAAAAAGTACTTTCCCAGATTAGGGTTACATTTTGAAACGTCCTCTCCGAGGAAAATTTTACTCCGTATACTATAGAATATCATGTAGAATATCATGAGAGCTTCAAATTATAATTTTGATTGAAGCTCACAAGAGAAATGACAGGAAAAATGTGATTTGAATGTACATAACCTCGCATTCTGCGCTATATAGGATATAGCTAAAGCAATAAATGTACATAACGTTTTACTTAATGGTACATTTAATGTATGTGATGTTTTCTTGATGTACATACGTAATATTTTATTTGGAATTAAAAATCTGTTTTATCGACATCGATCAAGTCCGGCCGTCGTTTCAGCGTCCCCTTAACCTCCAAGAACTATTATAGTCAGGTCAAGTAGCTAGATCAAGTGAGGTTGACCAACTGATGTGGCCTGTAATCTGTAAGAGAATCTCGTTAAACTATTTTTCAGCTTATCTTGCTACACTCTGTCACATTACTTTAGCTTCTCACAACTTTATCGAATTGAGTTTGCGCAAGTTTATTGTGACGAAAAACCGTGATTACTGAATGGTTTCTTGCTCTTGAGTACAACTTTTTTTATGTCTGTTTCTATCAATGTAGATTAATTTAATTCAAGAGAAAGAAGAGAGAGTTAGAAAAAAGCCTATAAATAGTCAACACAATTATTCATGCGTAAATTTATTGTTTATTTGCAATAATTATTAGACATTTTCTGACAAGTGAATTATTTTTCTTATTTAATATGGGCAAATAACAATGAATGCAATCATGCAATGGCTGCGTTCAGAGAAAGCAGCTTTGCAACTGTTATGAAATTCTTTAATGATTTATTTATACACTTAGATAAAAGTGAGGAAGTAAGGTCAGTCATATTAAAGAATTTTATTACACAAGTTGCAAAACTGCCTTATCTGCTGAACACAGCCTTTATGTCTGTTTTGTGGCTGAACTAGTTACACTTTTGGAACTTAAAATGAGATAGATGTATGTTAAAAGAGAGATAGACATCTGGTAAAAGTGAAAAAGATAATTCCAATACAGGACCTAATGATTAACTGTCTTACACTGTCCTTGCTAAAAAACGCCTAATATATATTGTTTTAATATATATTGGAATAATCATATTACAGATGTTTCAATCTAGATTTGAGTCTTTGGATGGTTTTAATCTTGGTTAACTTGCTTTTTATTTCTTTTTCGTTCTAAGAATTAGAAAAAGATAAAATATAAGCTGAAATGAAACTAAAGTTAATCTACATTAGTATTTGTTATTAGAATCCTATAAATCTCATTCTCTGTCCATTTGATTTTCACCTCTCAAATTTTCCAGTTTGATGGACTCTGCTATTTTCAAAACTATCTGGACCTCGGTTAAGCGAAACTTCGTCAGCGTGTTATTTCCTACAACTACGGTGCTCACGATTTACGCGGACCTGAGGCATACTGCTCGTTGGAAGCGCCAACTTGCTGAACAGCAGACAAGTGAGACTACGCCAAGACATGAGTCTATTTCGAAGTCTATCTGAACACAAACATATCTGGAAGCTGTACTGGACTCTTATCTTCCCCTTCGCGGGTTTCATGATCGGTTATAAGATAGATAGGATGGAAACAGAGAAGATGACAACATTCAGGGACAAATCAGCATTGTATGGCAGAGAGTTAAAACCTGGGGAGCCACCCTCCTGGCCATATTAGCTATCCTTATTGTACATCGTTCAAATCTTAAAAAATAGCAGAATCAATTAGTGCTTGTTAAGTTAAATAAAAAAATAAATATGTTCAAATGAAAACCACAGATGTTATATAGATATTTCATTAATATACACATATAATCTATATTAAATGACGAAAGAAAGAAAAAAAAATATATATATGTAATCAGTTTCATTTATTGGTAACAATGCGACATAATGTGATAAATATATACAGGATTGCCATATTATGTATCTCTATTAGTTGATAATCGCTAAGAGTACTATTTCATAATAGACAGTACATATAGAATTATTTTGTCAACATAGCAAATCCGATATATACACGAACTTACAATTATATAAAAATTACATTAAATTTACATTAAATATTAAACAGAGATCATTACAAATATTCAGAGATCCTCGTAAACATGAAACAATAAGAAAACTAATTTGATCAATTGCATTACATTAGATTAATGCATATTAAAAGCTGCTATGTACGAAGTTAACAAAGTTAAATGTAAAAGCATATAAATATTTTAAACAATGAAATGCCCAGTAATTGTTACGTTATTTAATAAAATATATATGTACTTTTTTATGGTCAAAATTTAAATTACGCCATTGCATTTAGATATTTTATAATTACTTGAATTAATTAAGGCTTAGAATTTCAAATGAAAGTTGAGAAAGAAAAAAGAATAATCGTGATGAGCCAACGCGGATATTTTAGTGCGTAAAAATTTTTTTACAATTCTAATATATGTAACTTAATAGATGTTTTGACCATTTTTTTTTTGTCTTCTTCAATACAATATAATAATAAACCGAATAGTCATAGAACGATGGTCAACCAAAATTGCGCAAATAAGAAATAATGTTAAAAGTAAAATTTCTATATTATGAGATTAAGGCCGTATTAAAACAGTCTTTGATATATATTAATCCAGTGTAGTACGAGTGATTAACTAATGCAAATGATCAATAATAACTCTCTTATTATTCTCATTTTAGTGTATTATTAATACCATGAAGTGCTATGGATATAGAGAAAATTTTTTCGACTTTTTCTTCGTTTTTTTCTTGGCATTACAGAGTTTATTGCACACGACGTTCTCCTTATTCTCAATCGATTGTTTGGTCGCTGAATTGTACATCTTGTGCTTTTGCATCCATTTGTCCGTTTCAGTGGTCCAGGAGACTGGCCTATCCTTGGAAATGCTGGCTTGATCTCGATGGCTACATCTCTCGCCAGTTTCTAAATTGAGATATGAAGGCAGCTTGTTTTTATTATTACGTTCTGCCTTGCCCGGAATATCATCTGGAATATAATCTACGAGTCCGTAATTCTGAAACCTTGTTTCCTTCTCCTGCAAAGCGCATATGTTATCGCTGACCTTCCGAAAAATTTTCTCCTCTTTGATCATGTGTTCGGGTTTCTCCTCAGTTACTCTTTGCAATTTTCCTGTGATATCTTTGTGCCTAGTCCATCGCTCGCTCGTTGATCTTGCGAATGCATCTGGTTTCTTATAAAGCAGTGGATTAAACAGCACCGACGTCCGTATGTTAGATGTATCTACGCTGGCAGCTGACAACGTTGAATTTAGATCGTCATAATTCATCTTAGGTTGCTCTTTGTATCTTATAGTAGCGTACGAATGAGTCTTCGAAGAAAAGGATTTCTTCGACAATGAATTTGGACGCATCGAATGCATTATCTTTTCTTCCTTTTTTTCGCATGGATTGATAATAGGTTGAAGATTTTTTGGGATCTCCGTTTTTTTCAAAATTTCAATTTTTTGGGGAATTTCTATTTGTCTCGGAATTTCTTCTTTTCTCAAAATCTCTTCTTTTTTCGGAATTTCTTCTTTTCTCAAAACAACTTTTTTCAGACAACTTTTCTCTTTTTTTAGAATCTCTTCCTTTTTCGGAATATCTTCTTTCTTTAAAACATCGTCTTTCCTCATAATTTTCTCTTCTACAAGATTATTAGATTTTTTGATATCACATAAAATTTGTGCCGCTTGCTCCAGGGTCTTTTCGACTAGCATGTTTTTTTGGTATTTTAGCTGCTGTTCTGCCTGTTTCATTTTATCATTGAAAAGTCTCTCTGCGATCCTTAGTTCCTTCTCTTTTCTAAACAGCTCCCTCTCTCTTTTTTGCAGATTTATCTCCTTTTCCCGCAAGATGGTTTCACGATTCCTTAGGATTTCAATTTTGTGCAAATAATTTTCTCTGAAGATCTCCTCGCTGACTTTTTTAGGTGACGGAATCGATGCGGTACAGCCATTCTTGTAACCGTGACGGCAGAAGTTGCTCAGCTTGTAGTCCAAGGAGTTCTCACTTCTCTCGTCAATCGACATCAAACTGTTCGTCCTGCTAAATTGTTTCGCAGGATACAATGACTCCTGCGGTCCAATTGACGCTTGAAATTCCTTTTTTTGTACACGTTCGTTAGAACGGCAAGAATTGGCGTCATTATAATATTTGATGATATCGTTATCCAAATGTTCGTCGTGTAAAGAATCTCGTTCTTCGTTATGCCTTTCACGAGTTTTATACCAATCAATGTGCTATCTTCAGTGGAAAACGTCTCGATTTCTTCGTGTTTATTATTCGAAGCGAGTGATGTATCTTTCTCGTTTTGCATACTGTTTTCGAATATGCTTTCGCTCTTGATATCAAACTGATTTTTGGTCTTAAGATCATCGAGCTCATTAATTATTGATAAGTTCTCCATTCCAGGCACAATGTATGTCTCAACTTTGTATAAGATTGGTTTCTTCATGATTGATATTGCAATATGTTAATATCTTTCAAACTCTCTCAGAAGATTATGTTGTAAATTGTCAAACTCTTCCAGAAACTCTCCTTGTAAATGATGATTGATCATTTCTGCAAATAATGGATATTTACTTATTAAAAATGTATACACATTCACATAAACACACACACACATACAGGGTGACTCCCTGTAATTTGAAATCCCCTGAATGCTTATACTATTCATATATTGAACTATAAAACTTTTATATCAAACAAACTTTAATCTCAAGTGACAGCTACACAGTCATGATATATTTATATCATGTACACAGTAAAAAAACATTTTGTATTTATGTTAAAACGAATTCTTGTTAAAATTTTGAATTGAATTTTTGAATTTTTAACATATCCAAGTTTTAATTTAACATATATAATAAGATTGTGTTATTTGAATATTTTGTATTAAATTAAAATTTAACATTTCTCAGTGTAAAATAACACAATTTATAGGTAAGTAAACAAATAAAAATAATGTAGTTTTAAAACATAAATTCTAAGAATATAAATGAATAAAATGTATATGTTGATTTACTATATTATCAATGTTAATTTTACTGAAGAAATATGTACAACTAGTTACATATTTTCTATGTAAGAAGGTATAGATATTTTTGTGTTATTTTCTTTTTGTAACAGTAAATATCTGTTAAATCTATGTATTACATATGCTAAATATCACAGAGGCATCGCTTAAACTAAAAACTGTAACAATAGCATCTAATTTCAGTTAAATTTAACATTATCAATATGTCAATTTAACATAAAATTTGTTTTTAAATTGTGTCAAAGTATTACGCTTCTTGTGTTAATTTTTTACATAACATTTGTGTTACTTTCTAACATATATTTTCATCTTATATTAAATCAACACAAAAATTTGGGTGGACCGTTTGGTACATGTGAAATGTGTTAAATTTAACACAAAATTTTTTTACTGTGTATGAGTCAAAAATAATTGAATTAGTTTTTCTTTCATTTTGTTGTGAAATCGATATATTCCGACTTTCTATTTATGCGTCTTTTAATTCTGTAAAAAAATAATTTTACAATCCGTAAAACCAATTTGAAAATTTAGGTTGCACTATAATTTGTGAAAATTAACGCAAACTCGCCCCTTTTAGAATCCTTAGAAAATGCCTTGGCATACAACCATTACATTAGAAAAGGAAAAAATTAAAAACGAACGATAAAAAAAAGATTACACATTTGTTTTAAAAAAAATTTATGATTTTATGTGTGTGTGTGTTTGTGTGTGGACATAATATATAAATATACACGATTTATTAAAATACAATTGCTGTAACATACCAGAACTATCATAATTCAAATGCAACTTCCAGAAGATGCGTGTAACATGGTGTCTGCATTTAAACTGAGCGTTCACATATAACGTTCGGCCGCAGGTATACGGACTCTACGTCTCCGTAGCGTATCTGCAACGTGATTTGCTGAGGCCGTTTTTAAATCCCAGCTATAACACTGGATGGTATACCATTCTACCTGCGCTTCTACAACATATGAAACGTGAGAATGTATTTGTTCGGCGTTTCTTTATGAAGGGACATGAAAGCCGAGGTCGTAACAAAAGCAATGTCAGTTAAACAATACAATAGAAAGAAAATTTATACGAGTGTGTATGGTTACATCGTCAAAATATTGAAAAAGATTGATAGAGCATTTGAAAATTCCGAAAAATTGAAAGGAAAATTGGAATTTATGATAGTTCTTGTTCACGTAGAATGGTGAAAGAATTAACCATATAAGATCAAATAATAAACGCTATATATGATTAAAAAGCGATTTGTTACTTTAAAATAAAGAGTAAAGTAGAGAGCAATATATATATATATATATGTATTACTTATCTTTTATTTACATATTGGTCCGAAATTGGTGACTTTCAAAAAAATTTTATTGAACACAATAAAAACTAATTTTTTCCGAGATTTACATATTTATATTTTTATTCACATTTCTCTCTCAATCATTTAATAATATTTTTAGAAGAATTATATACTAAAGTAGTATGTTGAAATTCAACTTCTTCAAATAAAATTTGCCCATGGTTGATGGTCTTTAATACTATCTCATCGGTGATATGAGTGATATTAAATGATCGGTGTAAACTAGGGCAGTATCAGACTTAACATTGCTTTGTATTTTTTTTCTTATTTCGATTTATAGTTCTTTGAAATCTTATTATTAGAGATATATATTGTTAAAATTATATCAATGTTTATTTGTTATCAATAATTTAGATCATTAAACAAGTATTATGACAAAATAATTCAAAGTTTAAAATTTGCCATGTAGTTTCGAGTTATTCTTCGGCAAACTGATGATTATTAACTTTCCAGATTTTTTTTCAGAAATAATTTGATAGAAAATTATTTGATGCGAGTATTAAACCAAGTGTAAAATAAGACATGGTAGTATGTAAACTTGTATGTATTATTAATAATAATTGATAGTGACAAGGATCTAGTAAAAAAAAGGATATTAGATAGAGAAATGTTATTGTTTCAAAAATGGCTTCGAAAACTTCAAAACAACAATTAGCTGCCAACCGAAATCCCTCAAGTGATTTTCAAGCGGAGACTTTTTCAAGAATGATTTTTTTCGGAAACATAATTTATAGTACACAATCACTTAAAAAATACTAGTGGCTGCGTTCAACAAAGAAAGCAGCTTTGCAATTGTTGTAAAATTCTTGAATATGATTGGTTTCTGCATTTAGATCCATAAAGAAAACATCAAAGGCCAATCGTATTGAAGAATTTTACAACGGTTGCAAAACTGTTTTCTCTGTTGAACGCAAACATCCATTGTTTTCCATTTGATGACATCGACACAAGCGTCGTTTTATCCTTCTTGACATTCAGTGACAGAGAGTGACAAAGATAGAACGACACTTGTGTGTCGACTGTATCTCCTAAAAAAGTAGCCATCACTAATTTTAATACGAACTAGAAAGTGTTTTTCATGTTTCACTATTAGCGAATTCGATTGGACGCACTCAGTGCGCACTGGTGCACATTAAAGCCGTTGTACACGAAATAACGTAAAGATATATTTATAAATAAACATAAAGATCGATTAAATCGTGAAATATTTAATACATTTTATTGTACTATTAGGTAAAATATGTATTTCATAATTCGAAATATTTGCATTTCATTTTTATATTTCAATTAAACTAGTGTACAACGGCTTTAATATGCACCAGTGCGCACTAGTTCTTCCAATCGAATTCGCCATATGATACCCATGCGGATATAAGGCGTGCTTGACTTTTGTGTGCGCATATCGACAAAATTGGAATATTATTATACACACATCCGTGTGTGTATAATAACGTAGATAAAAGCGAAGCTAAAATAGGTAAATACCGAGCAACGTTAAATTTCCTATCGTAGCGTACATTTGATGTTTATAATATAAATATATATATATATATATATATAT